CGTCCAAAAAGCGGCACACCTTAGCAGAAGCTGCAATAATCTTAGGGTCGCTCATCAGCCAATCAACGGTTTCTTTTGACGACACGTGTCTCATACCCGGCATCATCCATGAGCAGAAAACATACAGGCAGCTTGTGATTACTGTATTCACACTGTAATCTTCAAATCTTGGCATATTACTATTTTCTCCTCCCATGCACCACTTTAGCCCTTTATTGTAAGCCCTACATAAGTGTTTCACCTATTTCGCATATATATTTTTTCATCAAAATATTATATTTCATCAACCACAATACATGTATATATATATAATTACCAACTCGAAGGGTATTTTCGTAACACAATACATAGTTGAAGGGTGGTTGTAATTATGCAAACAAGAGGCGGTTTTTTGTAATTTGACCTTACCTCAGGGGTGGCTGTAATTTGCCCTATATATCTATAATAATATAAGGCCTCGTTTGGTTGGGTAGATTAGCCATTATTAACTAAATAATTGGACTTTATTCGATGTTTGATATCCGCAGTATATAACTTACTGGGTCGACCCGTAAATATTATGTTATCATGGTTTATCATGCCTTATCTTACCTTTTAGAGGGTTTTTTTTGTTGGACGTCCCGAGATCCAATAAAATAATTAGATTTTCATTAAATTATTTAATCTTAATTTGATTAATCTTATATTGGCAACCAAACGAGGCCTAAGTAGTTGTTATTACGTACACTTTCTTTGGCATAAGGAGCTGCAAAAGATTTTCCTCGTTTGGCTGCTTCACGATCGTAGTCTTCGTACATGCTAAAAGTAAACACGCAAATAATTTTTATATGATCGGGGATTTTATCGTCGTCGTCCTCGATTTCGTCAATATTCCACCTGTATTAACGTAATGTCAAAATTGACATAATTATAGTAGCTATTAATTAATTAGTTGTTTTGATCTCCCAAATAAATTTTTAATAAAGGCCGCGCCATTCACATACCTTTGGATAATGTGGGTGAAAAGGTCGGCTTCTTCAATCGTGGAATAATTGTCGTATGTATCATCGATAAGTGTAAGCATTTGCAAGGTTTTAGCAGCTGCTAATCGAGCATCGGAGTACTGAGGCTCGAAACAAAAAGCCGTCGCCCAAATGTAGGATTCCACCACTCTACTTCTCGCGTACGGCAGTTTTGGCATCAGGTTCAATTCGTTCCACCACCTAATTTATCGATCAGGACAATATAAATATTAAACACTAATTAATTTTGCGTTGTAGTACTGTACTGTGCATTTGATAAATATAACGTCAGTATTGTATGTAATTGATGTCGTATGTATATACAGTTAAACCTCTATAAATTAATACAGTTGATCAGACTAGCCAAAAAATCTATTAATTGAGCGAAATATTAATTTACTAATTACCTGGAGAGTTGGGAGAGCTCTTTCTTGTAGATATTCTGCAAATAATTGAAATCCAGTTTGGCTAGTCGGAGAAGTAGTTCACTCCTCGACTCATCTTTTTCGTAAAATGAAATAAAATGACGGGTTTCTATTCTTGGAACGCCTCTATGAAGTGGGTTCTGTAGCGCCCGCTTCACTTGTTCCTCAAGTAATGGAAACTCTAATAATAATTGTTGATCATCATCATCTAACATAAGATTGAGATGATATGTTGCGAAGGCCGCAGCCTCTTCCAGGATTTCTTCGCCACGAATTCTCAAGTGTGCAGCTTCGTATAAGCTCAACAATCCCTTAGCATCACTTTTTAGGGTTTCTTTGAATTTGTTGTCTTCGCCCTTAAACTTGTCGAAAACACCTGCAATATATACTTTCAATATTGATCGATGATTGTATATCTAATATATACATTTGACACAAACATTATAAGTGAATATCTAGAACTACGGATGAATGGAAACTTCTGTACGTGCTTCCACGTTTTCGATATGTTTTGGAAACAGAAACTCCTTGACACCTGCCGGAAACGTTTCGGGGTCTTTTTCTAAATACTTTAAACTTTCGGAGACGTTTCTAGTAATAATTGCATATAATACACGTTTTTCCCACGTTCCAGTTTCCATTTTTTGAGATATGGGGTGTTGATCAAAACGAATTGTGGATTACAATCTCCGGGAATTCCCCTAATTTTTTTTTTCTCCTATTCTAAAATCGATTCAATGACTTCGAGGTTTTTTCTTGAATTGAATAAATATAAATACCTCGAATTCAAATATGTTATGAATTCACGGTCGAGGCTCGGGGCGTGAGCTTGAGAGTTTGATATGTGTTCATGTGAGTCTCTTTTTTTAAATGCACCGAAGGTCTCTTTTTATAGGCACGAGCTAGAGTTTCTTGCTACAAGTTAGGGTTTCTTGACTTGTAGTGTGGGCCAGACATTTTAAAACCCAAATACGTTATGAACTTTAATTTGAAACCTAATTAATAACCGATTTATTTTGGTTTTTAATTAGTAATTTATCTCAAAATTTCGATGTCTACATGGGATTTCTCCGTGTCTATTTCCGCATTTCTCCGTGTTAGGTCACGGGTTCTATTCCCATTGGGTTTAGTTGCAATTTATAAGTCCAAGTGAAAAAAGAAAAAAAAAAGAAAGAAAAAAGATCAAGAACTTACTAGAACTGGCAAGTTGTCGGTGTTGCCTGAGCAGACGAAATCCGAGTGCAGTGGTGAACAAATCATGATTATAGTAGTAGTCTTGGATTTGATGGAGTAGGTTTTCGATTTCTCGATGGAAGTGATAAGACACTCCCAAACGCTCGAGTGTGTCGATCAACACTAGTTTCTCATGAATACTAGCTGTTTTTCCTTCTTGAATGAGCATGCTCACCACTTCTTCTTTCAATGCTTGAATGGCTTCCACATATTTCTCTTGTACCTTTGATTTCATCCCAAAATTATATTTGATTATATATCACTACACAAAACCCCACATATTTGCCCCCCAAAAAAAAAAAAAAAACAAGAAAGAAAAAATCCCTACATATTTGCAAAAAAAAACCTACATATTTGCATGAAAAAAAAAAACCCCCTACCCGATCGTCCAACGAAAATGAAGTGAAGGTATCGTCCCAAATGCTTGCGGTATAATTAACACTAGGCAGGCGGAAATCATCAGTCACTGCAGCAGTAGCCATATGTTTGTGTGTGTGTGTGTACGCGCGCGTGTTTCTTAAAATGCCTTTTGATTTTTTGCGCATTCTGTTATCAAGTAGACGAACTTATTTATAGTCACTAAGAAACCACTGATTTCAACCTTTTTTTTTTCTTTTTTTTTTTTTTTAATTTTAACAATCGATATGTATTTTAATGTAATCAAGGACCATCTTGACCTAAATTTCAACCTAAAATCAGTTATTGATGTTTTTTACATCCACATGCAATGTTTTATTTTTATTACATGATTTTATCAAAACTGAAATAAAGGGCTTGAATCCTCATTCCTGTAAGAGGTAAGCTGTGGGTGGATCACCACGTTTGTGCGTTTTGAAGTACTCGATCCGTTTCCGGACAGGTGTCGTTTTATTACTTTGACAGAAGTTTTAAGAATCTCAATAAATATTTCTTGATTTTGTTAGACCAAAATACCCTTATTTAATAATTGTAGCTAGAGTAGATAAGGACATAACTGAAAATATGTATAAATGCAGCATTGGAATTATAAAATGACAGATAATATAGAACAATTTATTTTTATCAAAATTGTCAGCTATTGTGGAACGGAAGAAGTATAACTAAATTTTTAGCTCACTTTCAACCATATATCATCCTCCAAAATCGATAAATCCATGTTCTTGGTGATTAATGATGATTAATGGTATGATATTCTCCAAAAATAATGTCTATGCAGACTTAAAATTTTTTTTTTTGAAAAAGATAAGATAAGATATATTAGGTTTTGAATTTTTAAATATAGTGTCTAATTTTAGTGAAATTCTTGGTGTGATATTCTCCCAAAATAATATTGTTGAAAAACTTCTAATAAAAAAATGTATTTGACAAAATAAAATGGGATATATTTATTAACTTTTGAATTTTTAAAATAAAATATCCTACATCTACTAAAATTTCTCCTGCATTTATCACCACCATATCTATATCATACACATATACTACATATATATATATATATATATATATATATATATATATATATATATATATTTGTTGGAATTTATGATTATATTCTAACATGAATTATTGCTGAACGCCCTTTCATTTTGAAGGTTGACATTCCCTCCCAATATATTCTGACTACAACTTTAAAGAATATATATATTCCAAGCAAAATCTGCACATCTTTAGCCAAGTAACGAAAAAAATAAATAAAAACAAGGGTTTACTATGGATAAGGCAATTTGTGTAATTGGTCAACAGTAGAAAAGAAAATGAGAATCTCAAACAAATCCTGGCTATAAATAGAGATCATACAATCAAAGGAAAATCCATTAACATATACATTATATACATGGTATACATAGATTATGGCAACAAGAAGAAGATGAAGAAGAAAGAAAGAAAGAGCCCTCGTTTACTAGCCAAGAATGGCTTGCCCGTAATTCCGCTCTCCTCACGTGGGAGAATTTTTGCGGTGTTTTACCGAGCAGTCATTTTTGGCTTAGTTGACGGGCGCTTCTTTATCTTTTTAGTCGTTGTTCTTTCCAATGCTCGTAGCTCAAATTTACATTTAACGTACATCAAATGAATATATAGAAACTACTTTGCTATCCAACTCTATTTTACACAGAAGTTCGCTCAGTTTTGGGTTGGATCATGTCTTCAATTATGTTAACCTTGGTTTTTTTTTTCTTGCCCTTAAAGGGGTTGCCTACGCGGAGGGGTAAGAGTGTTTGTGTCAATTGACCTAAGTTCGAATCTTCTCGCCAACGGTCTTTAGGTCGAGCTCGCTGCATGCATATGGTTAGCTTACTGTACATCTATCATGTGGGTTGTGAGTAGGGGTAGGTTCGGTGGGGCAACCATACCAAACCCCTTGACTTACTATCAATATCGAATTTGTGGTATTATGAATTTTATTACCATTCCCTTACAAAAAATTTCGGCATTACCGAAATTCGGTTTAACAAAAAATTGGTACGGTACGGGAATGGAAATTACCAACTTATATATGTTATCTACTATTTGTGCCAAAATTGAATATCATTTTGCAAAACAATTCATGGCATATACTTATTTAAAATTCTCAAAACTAGTATTTAATATATAAGTATTCTAAATTTATATTCTTAACTTACCTTATGTGAAATATTTCTTACATAAAATTGTAACATAAAATTTGTTAATGTAAATTATATTATCATTATGAAAGCGTTCATAACATCTTTCACGTGCCTAAAAAATACAACTAAATTTAAATATTAATAGTTACTTAGCATATTATCTTTACTTTTTATATAAAATAGATTAATTATGGAAATAATTATTTTATTTATTAATAATATTTAGGTACGAGGGTAATACCAATTTAATAATATTTAGTATCGTTGTTCTACCAAAATATTTCAGTATGGTACGATAATTATTCGATAGAGAGTCGGTAGGGTTCGCTAGGCAATATGGTAAAAAAAAAAAGACCCACCCCTAGTTGCGAGCTTTTGCACGAGAATAAAATGTTCTTTCATCATCAAAAGAAAAGAAAAAAAATGATTTTTTTTTAATTTTAGGGATAATTTGCATCCACCTCCCTAAACTCTGGACTTTTAGCAAGTACGTCCCAAACGTTTAACCTTTTGGCATACACACCCTCCATTCAGTTTTACGTCGGTGGTCCGTTAGTTTTAGAGGTAAAGTAGGAAAATTACATATAAATACAATTGCTAGTACTATAATTGTTTTCTTGTTATTGCATCCCCAAAAATTCATGCCATATATGTAAGTGTAATATTGATTGGTTAAAAAATGCAACACTGATCAGTTGGAATATAAAATTTAAATTTTGTACGTTAAAATTTAGGGATTATTTTTCAAAAGCCCTCCATTACACAAGTCTAATTACAATAGATCTAATTTTTTTAAAACTTTTTGAGATAAATCTATTTCAGCATTAAATAATAAAAAATAATAAATTATCACTATTATACCCCTAACTTAAAAGTAAGATATGTTTTATAATTGAAAAAATAAATAAAAAAAATTGTAATATCTTTTCCTATTATATCGCAACAACACATCCCAAATCGAAGAAGAACAGATAATAATGAATAACCATACCAGCAAATTAATTAAATTAAGGAATTAGTTTACTAACAAAAACAAAAGGATCTTTTTGCCGCATGATGAACAACAAAAAACATCAAAAAAAGCTTTAATCTCTAAACTTTAACCAAAACAAATGAAAAAGGGGCAGAAGAGGCTTTACCTTCTTGAGTGGTTGAAAGTTCGTACGAATTTCGATTGGATCTTTGGGGAAAAACATCACAATTATTGGAGAAAACTGTCAAACCGATTTTTTTATTTTTTTTTATTATTATATGTATGAGCTTTTGTTTTCTAGAATGTTGGGAAGGTGTCGGTGGCCATGGGAGATGGGATGAGCTTTTGTTTTCTGGAATTTTGGGGAGGTGTCGGTGGCCATGGGAGAAGGATGACGATTTAGGGTTCGGGAATAGGGATTTCGTTTTTTTTTTTCTGTTAACTTTTTGTTGTGTTTTTAGTCGATTACTTTAATTCGTTGTGAATTACGTAGATTTCGATAAGTTTGTAATGGATTACATCAATATTAATGTGCATTACTGATACGCGTTTTCCTCACGTATAAATTACCGCAAGTATACGGTATCGCATTTTGCAGAACAGTGGTTCCGGATATCGATCCACAGGGACCTTGTAGATTCAAATGCTGAGTAGTGTAATTATATTATCGTTATATTATCTAGCCGATCGTAAATAAGTGGATTGGTGATAAACCCTAATTTATAAGCATGCAAGATCGTAAACATGCAAATATAGAATGTACGTAAATAAAGTAACGACAACTCAACGCGGAGGGACTTCGATTTAAAGGGGACTTCTAGGGCCAAATCCACCTATGTATAATCAACAACGATCTACAAATCCGCTATCTAATGTCACATTCCTATTCGTTAACCCAGACGCTGATGTAATCTAACCCCCGTCTCCAGTGTAGTTAGAGTCTACCCACAGGTCCGACGTCTCCGTTCAGAACCTGCTATTAAGAGAGCATTTAGGTCAAGTCCTTAAGGGCTACCCGAAGTGCATCACGTCTCCGTTTCCACACCCCGAGCTATGTTTTCCTAACTTCAAACAAGAAATCCTCTATCGAGTTCATTCCTATTTAATATCAATCTGAGAGCTGATCAACACAATCAGAAGCATTTAATACAGGAAAACATAAAAGAAATCAAAACACGACAAATAGATAGCAGAAATGACGATCGAAATCACTATATACAAGGCTTCATTGCCCTAGAAGAAAATGTTCTTAGTTCATAACAAACATAGTATCAAAAGAATATACAAAGGAAATGAAGAAAAAAACGTAAAGAAATTGCGTAAGAAAAACCCAAGTCGGAACCCCCGTTGATGATTCCCGCGAAGAACTGTCGAAAACCGTAAAAAGTCGAAGAAGAAAAGAAGAGTGAGGGCTTGCTTCTATTTATAGTAAATTGCAAAGCTTCCTCAAGAAGCTTTGCTTTTTAAAATATCTGCCCTCGAAAATCGTGCCAGATCGCGATCCAATAAAGTCAGATCGCGATCTGGCTTCTTTAAAAAACGTGAACCGCCATCCCAGATCGCGATCCAGGAAGTGTGGATCGCGATCTGCCCCAAAATCACAATGCTACTGGAATTTGTCACCAGATCGCGATCCGACATTCCTGGATCGCGATCTGGGTCTGAACTTGCTTGCTACTGGAATTTGCATCCTGATCGCGATCCGACATTCCTGGATCGCGATCTGGGTCTTGATGACCACTTTCTCGGCTTGAAAAATCGGTTTCGCTTCCAAATGGCTTCGACTTGGCAACAAAAGCTAACAAAACCTAAAAAAGGAAATAAAACAAGAAACGCAATAATATATACAAATAAAGCCGAAACTCGGACGAACGAAGACCAAAACTCGAAGATTTGATAAGCAAAAATCGTGCAAAACGAACAC